AAAAAAAAAAAAAAAAAAAAAAGAAGATGTTGAAGTTCCGCCACTATTTAAATTAATAATAAAAAGAGCTTTATTTTGTTGAATTATTATTATTATTATTTTTGTAAACTGCAATTTTATTTTTTTAAATATAAAAGTCTGAAATTAATAAGAAAGAATTTATGCAATTTCATTCTTCAAACATTTTTTGTTAGGGGAAGGAAGGTTCTGATATGTTGCAAATCTTGCGATAGCTCAAATGCAAATTTTTAGTGTATTCAGTCCGTGCATTTTCGTCACTTTTGCTTTAGCCTTATGTCATGACTCAATTGTGAGAGTAAATATTTCGGCAACCAATCATGAGGCGCTACATGGATAATGGAAATATTCCTTCAATAATGCTACATGCACCAACTTGTTTATCACCTTTTGGATACTAACACATGTGGCAGACAACCCATGTCATCTGCCATCTCATATGTTTTAATTACATAATTTGTTATTAACAAAGATAAAAGAACTTCACATAGATAAAATAAAAACACTAAGAAAAGAAACCCAACGAGATTTCTTCCTCTCTGAATAACCCTAGAAATTCAGCAGTCCTTCCATTGAAGAATTGAAGGAATTCAGCAATCCTTCCATTTAATATGAATTGTATTCTAAGTTTTCTTATGAATTTTTATTGTGCTTTTTCTTTTCCTCCACTTTCAGATGTACAAAGGAGAGGTCATATTGACACATCTAGATGCCATAAGAAATAGATTCATATTTATACAACAAATCCTTAAACAATTGCAATCTCTCCGTTTGATGTATATATCATATGTGAATTATTATTTTTTCAAATGAAAAGAATTTCAATGATACAAGTGATGAACAAAGCCCCCTACATAAATATGAGAACCTATCCTCAATTAAGACCAAAAATAGACTAACCATCAATCATGACTTTCAGTAGCTTTTTGTTGGTTCATTTTTTGTTTCTGTGATGATCATAGATCCTATGTTGCTATTGTTGGAAGAACAACAATCAGTATTACACTAATTTAATTTAATAGGTAAATTAAACAATAAATAAAATAACGAAATTAAACAAGGCAGTAAAATTTTAAAAAAAAACTGACTATTCTTTCAATGGAGGCTTGCAGAATTGCGATGTCCTTGAAACAGAATTTCGCCCCGACTCAATGCTTGTAGTTCTGCAAGTGTCTGCTCCACCAGGATACAACTATCTAAAATTAAAGTCCTAGCACTAGGGCTTTGATTTATAGCGAAATATGTGTGTTTATCTCTCAGGCTATACAAGAATGATGACTTTGCATGTTATTTGTGATTTGATGTGTTAAAACAGAACCATGGCTCGTGTTTATATGGAGTGGCTAATACCTGTTGGAACATGTATCAAATAACGACAAACCCAATCAGACAAAACTTATCTAACTTTTGAATTTTAAAAAATAATTCAAATAAATAAATAATTGATTAATTAATTGGGTTTAATTTAAATTATAGAGCCCAAGGCCTATCTTTTGATTTATTAAATATATATTATTTATATATATTAATTAACCATTGACCCAACTAATTAGGCATTGATTCAAAAGTCAAACCCACATGCCATTCAATTGGGCCACTTGCATAGCCCAATCCAAACTATTCTATATCCAAGAGTAAGTCTTATAAAGACCTTCAAGGAACTCTAGTTTTCCAATGTGGGACTAGTTTCAACTCAAACATGTTTGTAATACGTTGCAAAAACCAACAACTATTGTTGGAGCCAATTCCGCCAAAAACTTGGTTTTTTATTTTTGGATCGTAAAATCTAAGTATCAGATAAACCACACAGCTTTTACCATAACCACTTTGCCCCACTAATATCACACTCTCGCCTGACCTCACCTTCAAATTGAAGTCCTTGAAAATCAATGCCTCAGATTAAGCCCTAATCTTCACATTGACCTCGAGCCCATACCCATTCATGGACAAATTTGGGGGCTTTGCGATTTGCTCCACGGACACGGTGGTAATTAAAACAGATGACATGGCAGATGACATGGGTTGCCATGTCATGTGCCACATGTGTTGGTATCCAAAAGTTAGCAAATAAGTTGGTACTCGTTATTGATATTCCTTAGGTGAACAATTGTGCACCATTTAATTGGTCAATTGTTTAGACTTTTTTTTTTTTTTTTGGTGTGAAAGAGAATTGATTCATAGAACCAAAGACGTACAAAGAGCGACATGATACAGTGGCCTTGTTAAAACCTTCCTAGGACAACCTCATGGAACTAATAAGAGAGTCTGATTCAGGTCACTTTGGACAATTACAATAAAAGAACAAATCAAAAATGAAAACTAACACAAAGACCTCCAACGAGAACTGCAACTAGAGACCAACACAGTAGATCCACATGAGTGGACCGCAGAAACCCCAAATAGTAAACCCACATGAGAGGACCGTAGAACATCCCAATTGTCAAAAAAAGCCTTCTATGAACAAAATCATAGTCCTTTAGCACCCACACAAACTGCAAGGCATACCATAGCAGAAATCAGGAGAAAACACAGAGGAGGAATACAGCAACAATAGTAAAAGGTGATAGGACCCGACCCAAATTCCACTTTGGAATCCGAGCCAGACCCTGTGCGTGTCCGACACCTGGCAAGTGCCAGACACAATTGACCTTATTGCCCTTTTACTCAAAAGTGCTGTTAAAACCGGAGTTTGACTTCTGCCAAAATTTCAGCAGAGTCTCCCCTGTAATTAGACCAAACCCAGAGTTACACCTGTCAGAAAAGCATAGAAATATGTACACCAACTGCCAGTATGCAAATAAATACATACTAACAGTTAGATAAGTGTTCTAGGGCAATATCAGAGCTTTATACATAAGACTACAAGCATAAAAATAATTACACAAGACCCTACGTCGTCAAGGGGTATGGCGGAAGCTGGACTCGGCCCGGTGGTGGCTCACTATGCACGCTTACTGCCTGGTGGCGCAAAACACAATTAGGGTGAGTGGACCAAAAACAAAGCTTTAGAAACATAGTATAAAAACATACTAACCCCCACTGTAAAATCAGTTATACAACTAAACCATTTCTTATCATACTTGTACTGAAATCAAAGCATACATATTTCTATCTATAGATTCAATCACACACTTAATCAAACATTAAATTCTTAAAAGCATTGAAATCACTTTAATCTACCACCTACGTGTACCCCTTTATTATTCCGTCAATTCCTTTAGTTTCCGTCAATTCCATCCTCGTGCCACCGGAGTGACACGTCCTAGCAGACCTCAGGAAACACAAAGTCACCCGAGCCGCAATCCTCGTGGAATTCAGGGGACACTTGGTCCATCTGACCCGCGTTCCTCACACCCACGGTTTGAGCGTCCCCGAAACTCGTGGGGCGGTGTCTAACATGCTGACCTACTGATCGGTTCATAATTGTATATCATTTTGTACCCTTCTAGCTTATGATTTGGTTATGTTTTTGAGTTAAACTTGTGCTTTTAATCCTTTTTGTGTTTATCTTTCAGTTCATTGAGCTTTAGGTAATAATGATGGCTTTAGAGAGCATAATTCATGCAATTCAAGCATGTTAAGGCCTAATTTGGATGAATGGATGAAGAG